GGATTCACACTTTTAATTCTTATAATTACATTTGTCTCAATTTTGTTTCTATTGCTAGTTTTATTTTTTTTTTCTCTCCTCTCTTTACCTTATATTCTGCTTCCCTTACCAGCTGTTTCATTTCTCCATTTCCTTCTGCATTCTCTCCTCCCCAGCTGCATTTACTCACCTTTGATTAGCTCCTCTGGTACCTTTGTCACTTCCACATCTCCCATTACTGCAAAAATACAAATTCACCAAGTATTTTTGGTGCAAATATCCAAGTACATTAGAAATGAGACAAAAGTAACTCATAGGTACCTTTTCAGTAAGATATGGGAGCTTGTTTTAAATCAATATTTACTTAATATTGACGAAAAAGTACTTGTTCCATCGGCAGATTATTTCACTTATAGATATAGCTGTGTATCTCCAACCCCTGTGCTTCTGTCATATAGTTGCTACACCTTTGCTTAATTACTCAGGACAACCTCTTTTTGAATTTCATCATCCTCCCAATCAATTTAGTGTTTTCATCTGCACAGCATGCCTAAACCTTCACCGTGTTTAACTGCAAGAAGGATCTTATTTTCTTTCTCAAAAGTAGAATTATTTCTCAAAATTGTTCTTTGATTTTAAATCTATTTTTTTGTTTGTTTGTTTTTCTTTTTGCCGCTTAGCTCAATGTTCTGCCCATGAAAGCACCGCTTTAATAGTTTTCATTTTTCTTAAACCTGGGAATTTATTTTTTAGTAATCTCGGTGCACAAGCTGATTTATTTTAATTTATCCCTTAAGGTATTTTAATTTGGGTGCTTGAAATGCTGGGTAAGAACACTTGATTCGTTTACCCCCTTAGGCAACAGCTGAATATTTACATATTAGCCGTGTTGCTTATTTTTAAAGATTTTCACAAGACCAGGATGTTGTACATACCAGCGACAGAGTGCATTCTTTTATTTTGTTAGTTTTTTTGATGCCCGAAAATAAACCGCCATTTTTGGTTGACGCATAGTAAAATAGTACCTAGAGACAAAAAAAAAAAAAAAAAATCAGGTGGATTGTACATAGT